AAAGGTCACCTCTTGAAGCTCCCACAACCAAGGAAATGGCTCCCACCACTTCCACCAAAAAGTCAGCCCCCAACTCCCACTCACACAGACTCACCAGCTCAGAAATGGAGTGTCTCCTCACTCACCAAGCAAACTCTCTCTCACACAAGTGTTTAGTTGAAGATTCTATGGAAGAAATGGCCTTTTGGCTCACACTATGAAGAAGAGAAGGAAATGGAACAGTGTATGGGAGCTGGTTAGCCTCCAAATCACTAGCAACAGAAAGAATACCTAGGGTTTAGTGCAAAATGAGCATATATATAGGCGGCTTAAGTTTAAACACCCAGTATTAGCACTAATATCTACGCTTAGCATTTTAATCCCAAACTTATGATTATGAACCTACTTTTATAATATTTATAATATTTTTATTTTATTTTTCACAGCACCTTTCCGGTACGCGCTTTTACGTAGCCAGTATTAGTTCTGGTACCAGTTCTCATTATTTCCACTTGAAACTTGTTTTACTAGTCCTAAATATTATTCTAGAAATATTCCCATACTTATTATAATTTTCTGGGATACTTCATCAGTACGCATTTATACCGTGAGGCAGAACCAGTATCTACACTTTTCGTCAGGAAAGCGACTTTCAGCATTTTTACTCACTAACCATAATTATTTAAGCCTTATCATAATTATTAGGGTCAATTATGGAATTATTTCTTTAATCTTGTATTTATTTAATTAATTTCCTAAATTAACGGTGCGAGTTCTTACAAATGACATCTTTGTCTCACATAAGAAGTATGCAACTGATCTATTAAAAAGTTTTCATATGAGTGGTTGCAAAACAGCTGCCACACCAATGAAAAATTGCTCTTGGATTATGGTATTGAAGAAGCCAACATACAACAATACAGAAGCTTGGTAGGTGGTCTCATTTATTTAGGCATGATATCTCTTATTCGGTTAGAGTAATATCCAGGTTCATGCACACTCCCTCAAAGCATCATTATGGAGCTGCAAAATGAATTCTTCGATATGTAGTAGGAACTTTGGATTTCAGAATATGGTATGAGCAAGTGAAGCAATGTAGCCTTATTGGATACACTGATAGTGATTGGGCAAGATGCATGGAAGATCGTAGAAGCACTACATGGTATGTATTCAACCTTGGATCTGGAGTGGTTTCATGGAGTTCAAAAAAACAGGCCACTGTTGCACTATCATCTCCAGAAGCTGAGTTTATGGCAGTAACTGCAACAACATGCCAAGCAATTTGGCTAAAAAGAATATTGGAGGGTCTTGGACAGGAGCAAAAGGAAGCAACAAAAGTATATTGTGATAACAAATTAACAATAGCTATAACGCCAAATCATGTGTTACACGATAGGACCAAGCACATTGACATAAGGGCGCATTTTATTAGAGACTTGGTTGCTGAAGGAAAGATAAGTCTTCAATATTGCAGCACTGAAGAACAAATTGCCGATATCCTCACAAAACCACTTGCAAGAGACACACATAAGCAATTGAGGAATTTACTTGATGTGTGTGATTTTGGATCAAGGGAAGTGTTGAGAAATGATCCAAAATATGGTAACTGTTTCAGCTATAATTTAGGAAAAACTAATCTGCCACCAGTCAATTAGTTAGGTTGTTTTATGCATTTAAATTGTATTCTTAAATTTTCTCTTCCAGTATCTGCACGTTAGTTCCACTCTTAATTAGTGGGAGTTGGTTTTTTTCTTTTCAGTTATGTAAAATGCATATTTAAAGGCATTATTTGTGATTCAATAAAAGTGTGGCAGAATACATTTTCATCTCTGTTTTATTGCCATCGTTATTTTCTCTTCATTTCTTACACTTGGGGTCGTCGAGAAAGTTAGATGATTGTTGTAAGAGTGTCAGGCTGATGAACATGAGTCAATAAAATCAGGAGGGGGAGATTTGTTAGGGTGCGTTCCTAATTCAATGTTTTGGTGATTTAGCATACAAGACAATTATTGGTGTATGCCTCAATGCCTAAATCACTCCAATAAATGCAACCAACCCCATTAATTACTGAAGATTCTTGAAGAAAATAAAGAGACTACCCCATCTATAAGACACTTTGAGTTTATTTTTCTATAAGGGAAATTTGAGAACATTTACTTCCTTTTGAGAAAAAATTTGTATACCACTTATGTGAGGTGAAAATTGAGTGTGTACCTCTAGTGCTTACTAAGGAAGAAATTATTGTAAACCCATTATTCTCATATAATGGAAGATTTTACTGAACTAGGTCCCGTGATTTTTATTCATTTGCATTAGGGGAGGTTTCTACATAAAAAATAATTGTGTTATCCCTTCTTCTCTTCATCTCATTTTTCTATTTTAGCGTATATTGGGCCAACCTATCAACATGTTGACCTCCAAGTGCTAAGCTGACGTGATCCACTTGATGAATAAATCGCCACACTATTTGAGAGATGTCGCCCCAACAAATTGTACTTAATCTATTAATGTTTTTATCATTAGATAACACAAGTTTGTCCCAAAGCTATTAATAAACTCATTTTCAATTTGAAAAATGGTATGTAAAAATTATATTAATATAACATGCCTAACTCAAGTATTGGCGGACTCAGAAATTTATATGAAAGGGGCAAAAATTTATATTGCAGGACAACATCAGCACGCAAACTTAATTGATTCACGCTAGCCACCCTGGGTATTTACGTTGCTTTTTTTTTCTTCTAATTTTTCGTTATTCATGTCAAAAGGTCAAATTAATAACAAGCCAAAAATCATGCTATATAAGATATATTAATTGACGAATGAAATTTAATTAGGGCTTCGCTTCTTCTACGTACTGCATCAATAGAGGGCAAAATATAAATACAATTAATAGCATTACTCCAGACAATCAAAGTTGGCTCATGATCTTCTTTTGTCTTTGCTTATGCCTATATATTCTATAATTGTTAAGTCCAAGTTTCTCCACAATTTGAAGCCCATTGCCAGTAATTTATAGACAACAAATTCAAAGAGCACATTGTACATAAACATTAGTTCTAGTTTAGAGAATAATTTTCTGATAGTACAAAACCAGCTCTCATATGTAAACTAGTTCAGTAAAAGTTCTTATTGAACTTAATAAGGTTTTTAATTAACGTCTTTGTGCTTTATTTCATCACCAAATCGCAAACACTAGTCTGAAACAAGTCTGCCATCTATGTATATGCCTGATCCCCGGACATTCAGGACCAGGGATAAATTTATAGAACATTAAACAAGTTCATCCCTTATGTCTTAATTACCCTACTACAAATCAATGATTAGGCAGAAATGTGTTGCCAACTTCCGGAAAAGACGACTTATGCTTATAGTCTTGTATATGTTAGGGGTGTTCATCAACCGATTCAAACTGCGGTGACTGAACCGAAAAATCAAAAATCAAAAATCGAAAAAAAATCGCAAATTTTAATTGAATTGGATCGGTTTTCGGATTTATTGATGTACACCAATCTAATATATTAATTTTCTTCTACCTATTTGGGTCTTTCCCCAATCATAGTCCAAAAATTTCTAAACCAAAGATCTATTAACCCATAAACTAAACCCAAGAAAAAACCTAGTCACATTTCTTCAACATTATTTTATCTGTATAGAGCTATATACACTCCATATAGGTTCAGCCTTGAACTCAAGTATACTAAATTCGTACAAGAGTTTTTCTACCCTAATATAACTCAACTTCGTGTAGAGCCAATATCAAATGACTAATGTCCTATTAGATGAAAAAATGTTAGATGCTTAGAATTTTATAGTCAAGAAATTTTCACAAAATGAATTGGACAATTAAGTAATTTTAATCATTTTATTCTATCTAATTATTACCCCTAAAATTCTCACTAGTTTTGTTTGAAGCATTATAACTTTAAAAGAGAGTTTGACAAATTAAGTACTGCATTATACAGGTCATCGTGTGTACTCAATTGTTAACATAATACGTTCTTATTTATTATTTAAATAACAATACTAAACATGAAAATATTTTCAATACTCTCATTATGCTGAATATTCGATACATTTTTTTATCAAATATGAAAAAATATATTTTTACTTTATAATTATTTTCATTCAAATCTCATATTTTTTCCCTATTGATAAAAAAAAGTAAATATTCTGGTTGCACAGAAAATGAACACTTAGATAATATTCATTGCATCATTTTATTAATGATTACGAAAGATGAAAGTGCATGGCTAATGGCTAATGGCTAATGTCTAACCAGCATTTTTCTAATTTGAGATTAGGATATTACGTAGAGTTTTATAAGAGTTATGTTGTAGAAAAAATGATAGTGTTATATTATAGAGATTCGTTTTGCGTGCTGTAATTTTTTTTCTTCAAAATATACGGGCCCCACAAAATATTATGTGTGTAGAAAAATTTTTGTGATCATGTTAAATGATAAATGTAAACCCCCTATTATGTATGGTTTTGATCGCTTGATGATCTAGAAGCATTTGTGATTGACTGTATAGATGCATTTGAAAGGTAATCAAAACTGATCTCAATATACAAACATAGGCAGGATGGCACCAGAATTTATCCCGCATAGCCGTTTGAAGCCTGCTTGAATCGCCCCATGCAAGGACAAGACAAGAACAACGAAACAAAACAACAAAAGGAGAGCAGAGATGACCTGGTTCTTGAGTGCACGGGTACCACTCCAACAGTCCTATTTTATGAGGCGTTTGGTTGAGGAGAAATTTTATGAATAATAGAAAAATGTTATAGATAGGAAAATGGTTGAAAAGTGAGATAGGTAGGAAAATGTAAAAAAAATTATTTGGTTGGAAAAAATTTTATTGAGAAAATTAGGTAACTTTTATGAAATCTATGTTTGGTTGTAGATAAAATATAGATGGAAAAATAAGTTGGTTTTACAAAATAACCCTGTATTTAATTTTTTTTTTTTTGATAACCAAGAAAACTTTTTAATTGATTAAGCTATCTGTTTAATTGACTCATTGACATCTCAGGTCATGGTATGCCTTGGCAGCAGAGATAACAGGTGCATAAGAGTAAAGCATGAAATGAATTCGAGGATAAGGCACAAGATTAGTCTGGAACTCAGTAATATCAACATTAATAGCACCATCAAACCTCAACGAGGTTGTCAAAGATGAAATGATATGAGAAATCAACCTATTCAAATTGGTATAAGTAGGCCTCTCAATATCAAGCGACCTCCTACAAATATCATAGATCGCTTCATTGTCCAAGAGCACAGCCACATCGGTGTGCTCAAGCAGCGAATGAGTGGAGAGAACACTGTTATATGGCTCAACAACCGCCGTTGAAACCTGTGGCGAAGGGTAAATGGTGAAATCGAGCTTCGATTTCTTGCCGTAATCGACGGATAAGCGTTCCAACAAGAGTGAGCCGAGACTAGAGCCAGTGCCGCCACCGACGACGCTGAAGACAAGAAACCCTTGCAAGCCTGTGCAGTTATCAGCTAACTTTCTGACACGATCTAAGCACAGATCTACGATCTCCTTGCCGACGGTGTAATGTCCTCTGGCGAAGTTGTTGGCGGCGTCTTCCACAAGCTTGGCATCGTATCATCTCTCTTTTGTTTTCAAAGGGTATACTGGTTACATATTGCATTTGCAAACAGTGGTTTAGCCGTGGTTTTACAAAAAAAACCACGTACGAAAATGCTTTTCAAACAGTACCGAAAGCTGTTATTTTCTATTTAAATTTTAAATTGAAAAAGTTATGCATTTTGGATGGCTAGCTTTTTGCCTGAATCTATTCAACCAAACACTTCTATTCTGGAATCCTCGTCTCACTTACCTAGAAAATTTTTGGAAAGACCCCAGCCAAACACCACCTTAAAGCATTAAGAACATATATATATATTAAAATATACACTGAAATGATTAAATTTCTTTTAAGAAAATTGTACAGATAGAAAATATTTATTAGAATAAATTACTTTTTATGCATTCTATAATGTTACCGGATTCAATTTAATTCTTTAAAAAAAATAAGTCAATTTGTAGTTCATGTAAAATTTAAATTAGATTCATGTTAATTTTTTGAGAAACTAATGTAGGTTTTCTTTAAATTTCAAAAGAATCACAATTTTAACTAACTAAGTTTATTTTAAATTTTATAAAAATCATATATTGATTTTTTTTCTCTCTAAAAAATTAAATTGGACTCATAATATTTATTGAGCCAAAAGCTATTTTACTCAATTTATTATTTTTAAAAGAATAATAGCAGTAAGGTGGAGCCTATAAATTGCCGAGGATTCGTCTCATCCAACATCACAAGATACTTATTACCTTGCTTCCTGACCTGTACTTGCATATCTGTGTCCGTGAAAAATGGCACACATTAACAGGAACTTGAGCAGAGCAATATTCTTCATGGTCTTCGTTGTGGGGCTTCTGTTGGGTGCTGAGGCAATGGCACAGGGTGGCGAGTTCACTCAAGCCGCACCAGCGCCAGCACCCACAGTGAACGCTGGAGCTGGGTTTTTGGTGACTTATTCTGGGGCATTTGTTTGCTCCTCTCTGCTCTTCTCTCTCATTGCCCTTCTCTTTCATTAAATCTCATAGACAAACATACCTACAGTCTTTTTTTTATTTTTTTATTTATTTTTAGATTATGTTTTTCTTATTTGTTCATTTTAAATGGGAGGTAGTAATTGGTGATTGGTGAGTACATTTGAGGCCGGTTGAGGTTATGGCATTATTTATTTCTTCTGTTGATTTCATTATTATTGTATTATCTTCAATTTTTTCCTAATTGTTGGTTAGGGTGTGATTCACTACATTGTCTATTTGTGCAGAACATTATGAATTATATAATATTTTTATGTGGCGTTGTCCATATGGTGTGCTACAAAGTGTAATGATCTAAATGAGTGTTTAAAAAAATAAAGAATATGAATATTATTATGTTAATAATAAGATAGGAAAGACGCGTCAAGACTCAAGAGCATGGAGAATGACTCCAGCCAGTTTTGTTTCTCTGCTTGTCCTCATTGTTATTGAACCACAAGTGTCCCTTTTCTGCTTAAAACAACCAATCTTTTATGAAATTAAACTGGAACTGAAAACAATGGTGTTAAGAAGAAATACGAAGACGTGGGTAATGTATAAATTAGTTTAGCTTCGGTACTACATTCTTCAATCCTTGATGTTTCTAATGATATGCTCTGACTCAACAAGCCTGTTAGAAAAATGATTACAAATTTATAATTTAATTTGCAGATGTTCTGATTTACAAATTCGGATATGAAATGGTTATCACTTGGTACAAATGTGAGGCTGTAAAAGTCAGTTTTGTTCCTTATACAACTAACAAGATTCCAATGTACCCCAGGGCACGGAACGAACTTCATTATTGACTGATTAAACCGCTGGAAAGGCGTATATTGAGCAAAACTCATGTAAAACATTAGTTGCCAGGGATTTCACTTTGTCTAAATTCTTGGCTTTTATCATATAATTTGTTTTTGGAATATTAGCACCCTCTTGTTGAAAGAACAAGAACTACTATAGGTTTATATTATTCTTTAACACGTCTTTTCACATAAGAGAGTTCATTGAACTTAAAGAATAGACAATGCACAGAAACTATCCTAAGAAAATTTCAAAAGAAAAAAATAGGGGGTGGTGAGATTTATATATTTCTTTAATATATCCTCTCATACGAAAGTTCACTGGATGGAGGGTGGATAATACACAGACTCAGTACTAAGAAATTCTACAAAAAAAAAAGTTGAAGGTGAAGATCTAACCATGCACAGGCCTTCACTTAACAGCTTTAAATTTTTGAGTTGAATTGATTCTTTAGAATAAAATTCAAACCCAGATAAATGATGTGTCATATAACCATAGTGTCCAAGAGACGATCATACGAGAGCCTAATAGTTAAAAAACTGATGATGCACTGCTCTGGCCTCTGAAGCTTAACTAGAACTTGCCTAATGTTCAAACTTTAAATCAGATTACGATTGGGAAATTTTGAAATTCTGAACTCCAAAATGTTCCGTTTGCTAATTTTTCACAAAAGTAACCAAAGGAAATCACCAGTAACATGTATCTCCACAACATACATCTGTGCGTCTCGCCGAGACGGTCTCGGTGTACATATATATGTATATTTTACGCATATGGCATTTTGAGTCCCTCTTTAAAAAGGTATTCGTTTCCATGTATTTTTTTTAAATAAAAAATTAGTACTCATTGAGTGACATGAATTATGCCATTTTGTGTACATAAAAATATCTCGCCGGCAGAAGGGAGGATCATAATATATTAAAATTCCCTCACTCGCTTTATATCCACGCACTTGTAAAATTAATTAAAGAAAATTACTAAACACTATTCGGATAAAGTGTCACTATCAATGTTATTATCAATCAATTTCACAGTTAGATCGATTCAACAATTATATTTATTTTCATCTTTGTATGATTATGATTCTCTATATTTAATGTGAAAATATTAAATATGAAAATTATAACCATACAAAGATAGAAATAAATATAAAGTATTAAATAGAGAGAATTATAACCAAAGATAAAAATAAATATAACCGTTAGATCAACATAATCGATCTAACGATAAAATTAATTGACAATAATATTTATAGTAACACACTAACATTAATTAATTGTTACAATATCTTCCGCGTTCTATCCTTACATTTTTGTAACAAAATAATTTAGCAGTAACAACTACGCATGCGTCTCTTTCCAACTAGAATTAATTATTAGAAATTAGTGATAATTTTGGTCTAATTTTTTCGTGAACAATGACATTTCTGTTAATTAAATATTAGTCTTCTGCGTTTTTTTTTTATCCAGCTATCTTCTACCTAAAAATAATAGGCTACGCCTGCCAACAAAAAACGGAAAAAATATAAATATATATATTTCCTTACTCCTCGTTCTGCATCTATCATCGGCTTCTGGTTTTCGAAATTAAAACATAAGAATTGCTAGTGATTTGCGTCTAGGTCCCGTAATCGAAGATAACCCTAACCTAACATTGTTGAGGAATGGACTCTCAGGTGACGGTAGCTCTTGCTCTTTCACTGGTTGGTGGCTTGAGCACTTCCCTCGGTACGTACATAACTTGAATGTTGTTATCGCATCTTGTGTTTTCAATTTCAATTTAGACCATGCTGCTTCGTACACACACTATTTCCATTATAATTTGAACCCTATCTAGTTGCTTACCATGATAACTTGCTTTACCAGCTCCGGCTCATATGGAAAGAAATTGATACCTTTGCTTGCTCCCCCAAAATCTTAACATTAGAAATTTTATCACTAGTGTTTTTTTTTTAATTATTATATTATATTTCTATTGAGCTTTTATTTGTTTGTAACTGAACTTTAAGTTGTTGTCAATGTGAAACAGGTGCACTTTTTGTTATTATTAATCCAGCTCCCAATTTGAAGATGCTTGGGTTATTACAGGTGGTTTTCGTTTGTCAAGACCTCTTTTATTTTATTTTTTATTTTTTATTTTTTTGGGTCTATTTGTTTATTTGATTGCTTGAGTTTGCTTTCTGAATGAAGGGTTTTGCTGGTGGTTTGATGCTGAGCATATCATTCTTCGATCTTGCTCATAATGCTTTGAACTCACTAGGATTCTTGAAAGGCAACCTTTGGGTAAGGCTGTGAACTTCAGCAATCATAAAGTCAACTGACAGCAATGTTTTACTTTCTTGTTAGTTCTGACCAAAATGTTCTATCTTCTCATTTTTCGTGTAGTTTTTCGCTGGTGTAATATTCTTTGCTGTTGTTACCAATTTTATCCCCGAGCCAACACTTGCTCCCACTTCAGATGTGAAGAGTAGAAAGGTTTTGAATGAACTTGTTTCTTGCAAATAACTGTTACCTCTGAATTGTTGCATTTGCAAAGTGGCATTGGAGCAGCTATGTTATGTACTGCATTGATATAAATTTTGATAAATATGACTGATGACATGCTTGAATAGAAAAATGGGGATGAAGGAAGCAAGGATATTATGAAAAAACATCGCAGACAAGTTTTATTCAGTGGAATTATTACAGCCGTAGGTATGACTATCTGTGTACTTTCAAACCTAACGTTTTTCTTACATTGTAGTTCTTTTTGGAACAAAAGATTATAAGAATATTAGAGGAATTTGAAAATTAAATTTCTTTTGAATTTTCTAGGAGTTTGGGTAATCAAAGGCTTGAACGAGATTAAGAACTTCAATTCTCATTTTCTATTTTTCCTTTTGTTCACTGTTTCTTTAATTTTTATTTATTTTATTTTCCTTTTTTGTTCTTTTCCTAGGTATAAGTTTACACAATTTTCCGGAAGGAATGGCAGTATTCCTTGGATCCATGAAGGTACCCAAGAACCTATTGATATGCATATGGATCTAACACTTTTGTCATTAATTGTTGAAGGAGTACTTATATTTACACCGATATGCTTGTTAATGCCACTTCGATTTGATGTTTATGACATGCTTTTTTTTAATAGGGACTCCGTGTTGGCCTTAACTTAGCGTTGGCCATTGCTCTGCACAATATCCCAGAGGTACACATTTTCATCTTATGATGGAATCTGTTTACTCTAGATGCTATAGTTATATTTGAGTGGTGCAATTAGTAATGAAGGGAAACCACTGTTCCTTATAATACTTGATGCTTTCGTGTCTCTGTATTTTATTTTAATTTTTTATTGTTCAATATTTTGAGTTACACAAGTTTTTTTTTTATTCTATCCACATTATTTTCTGAAAACACGTTTAAAAAAAATGCTAAATAGCTCTTTTTGTAATTTTAACAATCTTCTGTTTTCTAGGGTGTTGCTGTTGCACTTCCTGTTTATTTTGCGACACAAAGGTAAAAACTTTTAAGGGCTCCTCTTGGTTTTGCTTTTTTGTAGCACTTCCAACTGACAAGTGACATATATGTATTGAAGTGTAAAGAGTTTATGGTCAATTGTTGCACGGGCTGAAATATGCATATGAAATAGTGAACTCAACAATGAATTTATATGAAAAAACAGACTGATTGTGGGAAATATATTCTCAGTGGCACTGAGTAGGTGATATTGGAATTATTTTCTAAATAGTTTGTGCTGTAAAAGGTTTCTGATGCACATGATCACCATTTAAGGGTGATTCCCTCCCCCCCCCCCAAAAAAAAAAATCACAAAACCAGTAGTGGTAGCAGCATGTGATGGTGGGAACAAAGATGATGACTTGGTTGGTTTGTGTTAATGGCTATTATGTGAGACAAAACCTTTTATTTTATTTTTTTGAGCCTGTTTTTGGATTTGAATGCTGTTATCTATACAAATCAAACTAGATACTTATGAAATTCTAGTGAAAGGATGCAATGATATGTTCATTTGCAATTTTTCACATGCTTGATGTCATTCTTTTGTTGTATAATACCACTGGAATTCTGGAATTATTAATTAACCTTAAATCATGTTTTATGTTATGTGAAATGAAATTATGTCAATAATTACGTATTCCAATTATAACTATAACTTTTTTATGTTTCTGGATGTATCTTAGTAAATGGAAGGCATTCAAATTGGCAACGCTTTCTGGCTTTGCCGAACCCCTGGGTGTTATAATAGTAGGTAAATCATCTGCTTTATGTTGCTTTGCTCAATAGAGTTTTCTTTTCTTTTCAAAGCAGCAGAAAACAAGAATTAGTGGTAATTTGGTATCATAACAATGATGAAGCATGACATGCTTCAATATTAAGGTCTGGTGAGGTATGCGTGCCTATTTCAAGCTTGCCCATTGATTCTCTCTTTCCCTCTCTACTCCAGAGTAGTTTTTATGCTTAGTTATATAAATTCATTAGTTTTTTGACACTCAGGATTTCTTAGATATGTGTAAATTACTAAGTTGAACTTACTGTAATGATTTCTTTTCTTTCACTGTAGCCTATCTATTCCCTAGCAGCTTAAGTCCCGAGATTCTGGAAGGCTTACTTGGATCAGGTTTGCCATAATACAGCTTCTAGATGTCACAATTAGGGTGTCAACATTTATGTTATTATGCAGATTTGTTGTATGATGATTGCAGTTGGTGGAGTTATGGCTTTTCTGACCCTTCATGAAATGCTGCCATTGGCATTTGATTATGCGGGACAGAAGCAATCTGTTAAGGCTGTATTTTTTGGGATGGCTTTCATGTCTGCAAGGTGATAATTTCATTGCTAATGAAATATTATTTCTAGAGCTGATGATATTGTTTGCTTTTAATTGTTACTTTGGTAAAATATTTAATGCATTTGAGTGTCATGTTTCATGTCCCTGTTCATTAAAGTGAGTAATTAATATGCATGTTTACTAGCAACTAGTAATAATGAATATTGCTTGCTACAAAGAGAGGAAACAAAAATATTATCGTGGAGACAGAAAGATGCAAACTCTTGGCCATGCGGCATTTATCACTATTAGTGAAATTTGTGACTTTCTTATGTCTTTGATTTTGTTGTAACTTGTTCTTGGGTCTGTCTTGACCTACATTATGTCCTATAGCCAGATTTTTTTTTGGGGGTGGGGGAGACTGTCAAAGAACTTTATAAAAGAGTAATGTGCTACACAGCCAGAAAGAACTTAGCAGAATTTGCCAAGATTCAAGGGTGTCTGTCATTTATCCAAGTGTCAATAATAATGCCAGCTCATTGGCAAAAGAATTATGGATCTTTAGTATTTTCCCTTATAAAATTGTCTGTGTTCCAATGTATGATACATACATGGTCTAAACATTATTTGTAGTGAGAATGCAAAATATGCAACATTTCAACAGAGAAACTAATTAGGACTTAATTGCTACCTTCTTGTTTCATCAGTAGTGTGTCCTTAGAAATGAAGGTGAAAATTCATATCTGAACTTTGGGTGAAAAATTTGTGTAAGAACTTGTTTATACCCCAAATTTTAAGGGATTATCAAACTAACTATCAGTTGCGCTGCACCATCCACCTCCAAACTTCTAATCATCATTTAATCTCATAACGTTTTATACCACAAATTCTTTGGCTAGTGTTTCTGCTTTCTTTTCCCCCTCGTCACTGGATATACCTCTTTATCTCTTTTTTCACTTCAAAAAGGAGGGGAAAATATATCTCTTTCTGTCTCTTTTTTTGCTAGAAATTATTATATCTCATTACTATTGCCGGATGTGCAGCCTGTATTTTCTAAGTATCTGCTTGCCAGAGGAGATAAGCTTGTAGATGGGAACAACCTCTTTTGTTTTCTGAATATGATGCATTCCACAGTATTATTGTGGCGTGTCTTCTGTTTCTGTCATCAATCGCAGCAACATTCCTTCGGAAGGACTCCCACAAACTGTCCAATGACAAAAATGCACAGCCATCTGTTGAGGATAGCAATCGGACATCAATATACAGGGATGTATTCCACCTAAGGTTATGGTATCCCTTATAAACGAATGTACAAAGAAAACGAAAGAATAAGTGTATGTTGTCTTTAATTCGTTAACCGACCTTGTATCCTGTCATCAATGAAGGTCAGACTTGTAAATTACACAGTTTGCTGATAGCCTTGGGGTATAAGAAACAATATGCCTTGAGCATTCTTCCTCTCCAAACCGACCATGCTTGCCTTGGCAAGGAGTTTGGTTCTCAGGTCTCTTATATTAATAGTCTAAAATTCAAAAAACAAACTCCTATGGGTTAAAGAGAGTATTTTTCATACATTTACATTTTTTTGTGTGTGGATAAACCACATGTATCCTCCTATGGAGGCAATCCAGTTAAGGGTATGTCTAGAATTAAGGTTTTAAACCTCTTTCAAATATGGTACTAAAGAGAATTTATATTTTTAAAGTTAAAATTACCTTACATTTGGATGGAATACATAAAAAAGGATTTTTTATGGCTTGTATTTTTTTTAAAGAAGTTAAAAGTATTTTACGTTTGGATGGAATATATAAAAAATATTTTTAGATTAAATTGTTATTTGGATGTTAAAATTAATAAGTAATTTTATATATAAAATTACTAATAGATATATGTGAATGATGATAGTGGCGGTAATGGGATGGAGTTGGGATAAAATTAAATTTTTAAAAAATTATTTAATTTTTGACTTTTATTTTTTTCATAAGCAAGCGACTTCCAAAAAAAGTACTATTTTAACTTTTTTCTTTTTGAAAAAAGTTTCTATCCAAACACATAAAATAACCCAAAGTGACTTTTTTATTTTTTATTTTGGAAAAAAGCATCTTTTAGAAAAAACGCACGTCCAAACCCACTCTTAATCCCCTCATAAAGAACAAGAATTAAGTAGCTGTGGTCAGGGTTATGGAACTATCTCCGTGTATCCTCTACAACTACAACTCTATAGGTGTGGCCGTGTGGATCGTGGTAAGCTCAAACTTTACCAAGTGGATAGTACTAAGGCAATTCATTTTACAAAATTTTTGGTGTTACTTTACAAGTGGAAAACATGTTTTATTTAGATATTCAGGCAATTCAGTGGCATTAAATTAGGGTTAAAGAAAGCATTTTTCATACACTTACATTTTTTGTTTGGGGTAAATCATACGTTTACCTTTTGGTGTTAGCATTTGTGTAACTTTCGAGTTTCGAATGACAAAAACTAATGGGATATTATAATAAATGAGTCAAGTCAAGTCAGAATTTACTCTAAATGAGTTAGGCTTATGTAAAATATTTTAAACATGACTTAGTTTGATAGTCTGATAGCTAAATTATAAATTTGGTCTGACTTGTTATTAAAAAATATAAGATTTGACCCATCTTATCAAGCTTATTAAACCTTCAAAAATGACATATTGTACTATGTAAAATATGAGTTATGAGTTATGACTATTTTATTTCTTTTATGTGTTTAGATTGATGGAAAGTCAAAATAATACACTAGCCGAAGCTAAAGCCACGTCACAACCCAAAATATGATTTTGTTAAACAATAATAAAGTATTATTTATTAAAAAATGCGAGTTGGGCCTAAAGGCTTAGAGGTCAGATCTTCTAAAATAGACTTTCCATTTGATTTTTAAAGTGGTCTTTTAATGAGTTTAAGCCTGTATTGTTTTTGAAACGGGTTAAGTTAAAACATATCAAATATAAGTCAAACTGTAGGCTTTAATAAGTTGCCTGATCTATTTACATCTCAAACGGCTTTAACTTTACTAGATTTAACGGGACTTTTTAAATTACTGTACAATCTATATAGATTCTGCATTGTCAACATTAACAACAACTTCAAAGTGATGGTGTATCTGACGAATTTGGATGAGTATACGTTGGGAAATAGGAAATATTTTTTTTTCTTATAAAAAAAAAACATGGGAAGATTGGTGTTTTTCTAGTGAGGTCAGTGATGTAATTTACTGATTAATGATGGATTACCCTTTCTTTTTCAATGAAGCTTTTCAATTGGATGTATAAAGACAATCATATAGAAAATAAGGGGACAAAAGTTTTCAATCAACCAAAGGCGAATCTAATTAAAGCAAAACAACCAGGACAAGGAACCTCTAACATTAAAAGTATAGTTCGCATGAAGTTGCAAAATTGCAATCAACTATTCGAATCTCCCCAGTATCACCTTTGGGAAGAATTTAAAGCTTTAATCCTGGACCCGCCCCGAATCGGACTAGTCGCGAAGCGATGAACCGATGGAATATTTCCAAAAAAACTATTACAGTGACCAACCAATTTTAGATTGTATGCACAATTTCTTAACTCTCTTTTTTTTTTAAAAAAGATAATTTTTAATTTCCAAATAGTAATTTAAGTTCCTATTGAAACTTGTGCGTGAATAATAATACGGAAGAGTTATTATGGCCTTAACGAGTCAAAATGTCTTTATAATTGTTTTAACCTTAGCTTGGGTATATACGAGAGCTAGCCTTCTCTAATCTCTAGAGACTTTTAAAGGAAATTGGATTTGTTTTTTAATTAAATGAATATCTGAATTAAGAAGTTAAGAAATTATTCCCCTCCTTTTTATTCATATTTTCATTTGAAAGTATAATAAATTAATAACTTAAACAAAAATATTTTTTTTTAAACGCTCGTGCTTGATATGAAGATCAGCTTCCAAATGACAATCTAATATTTTAATATGGAATGAGAATTGATCACATGCGAACAGAAACGCAATCTATATATCTACGTTGGTTCTTTCAAAATATTATAAATTATATTCTACCCTTGAGAATTTTGTCTGAACCCTTATAACCAGCCGAATAAGGCCAGTTTTCATTATTGTGCTTCTTAAGTAGTAGCTTTTCATGTTTTTGAAATCTCTATTATACCCAAAAACAAATGCATCAACACGAAACTTCATTATTTTCATCCATGTCGTCTTAATTAAATTCTCAAACCCAAGCTGTTTGTTTGTGTAATATATTATAGAGTATAGACCAATTTTCATTATTAGTTTTATGGCATAGTTTTATAATAATCAAATTTTGACGTATACATTAGGTGTTTATGTGATTTTGGCATTAGAAAAAAGCTAAACGTGTTCTAAAGCTAAACGTGTTCATCACACACACATATATATAGGGGCAGGATATTCTTACATCGGTGTAAGAGTTAGAAGTCTTACACTCAATTTTGACCATTGATCCACTTGTATCCAATGACTCATATTACTAAAAAATTAGAGCCCTCAGATATAAGTGGGATCAACGGACAAGATTGAGAATGTAACTTACAATAGTATAAAATGATCCTGACGTGTAAAATGATCATGTCCCATATATATATATATATATATATATATATATATGAGGCAGGATCCTTTGACACCTCATCTGAGAGCCATTAGATAAAAAAAAAATCAACAATTTTGATTTGTAAGCATGTGACACCATTGATCTTTTTTGATCTAATGGCTATCAGATGAGATGTCAAATGATCCTACCTCTCTCTCTCTCTCTCTCTCTCTCTATATATATATATATATATATGTTATGATCTAATAGATCATGATGTCCAATCAGAGATTGATATGTTAATATTGGATCTGTTTGCCCTTCCTCAGGTACCTATAGGAGAGGTACCCTAAAGATAAGCGGATCACTGTGCATTATAATATAACGACGTAGTCAAGGTGTAGGGTGTGTGCACAGTGATAAGCTAAGAGAGAGGGTTTTTAGAGTGTGTACCTTATTGGTTTAACCCCTTATTTATAGATGGGTTACCTGGCAGACGTGGACTTTTGGGCCTCTTAGGAGTATTGGGGGTCCAATTGTTGATCCATTGCTGCCGTAGTATGATTAGTATAATTAAGGAATATTTCCTTAATTCTCTCTTAGCTGTCTGGATAAGATCGTCATTAATAGAAGATTCTCTTCCTGTTTGTGCTGTTCTTTATTGGACTTTCTAAAATATAGGCCTTTGTCAGGTCCATAACAGTTGCCCCCCAGCCCGGTAGTTTGGTTGTCCAGGCTGCCGGGGTGAATTGTCTTGCCTTTTGCTTCAGGTTTTCTGCTGAGCTGAGAGCGTTTGAGTTTTTGTAAACTTTTTGCATATATGTTCCTTACATCTCAGGCTTTCACATCGGGGTCCTCATTGCCCCTTATCTCGGCGGGTTTATCATAAACCATGGAAAACATTTCATGTATTTCTATACCGAGTTTCGGATGAGCTTCAGTGGTTGGGATCCAACTGGCGAGTTGCCCCCAAGCATCATTCCATACGCACACGTCCTGAGCTTGTAGCTTTCTTTTGGAACCGGAAATGATTTTCCCTTGTCAACTATGTGGGCGGGTTATGCATGAACCCGACAAGATACTCTGCATGTGTACTTAGGTAACAAATGTGCTTGGGTAGTTGGAATCCAACTGGCGAGTTTCCCTCAAGCATCATTCGTATAACCCGGATAAGAGTTGTCGTATACTTGCATGTAATAGCCGTAATCTCTGCATTTGAATTTCAAGTTAGCGTTTGAATTCTTGCTTTGACTTGGTATATTCATTGAAGCAATTTTCTTTGGGTTGAAACTTTCCTTGACCGACTTAATTGGGTCAGCGATTGCAGTTATTATCTCTTGTCATTCATTCAACCGGCTTTAGTGAATCGAGTATTGAATATGTCATTTCTGTATTTCTCCCTCACCCTTTTTTGGCTGAGGTGGTGCTTTGGTGAGGCAGTGTTTGCCTCCTCTCAACATCGGGCTCGACTTCTCCTTCTGAGGCTTTCGCTTTGAGCCCAACTTCTTGCACTGTGGCTTTATTGATTCAGATTTAGCTTTTCAACATTAACTGAAAAAAATGATGAACTAGCCAAGGTCTTTCGTCACAGCTTGCACACATGTTGTTTATTTTGACAACATTTAGGATTTAGAAGCATCCTTCCATTTTTCTGTGCCTCGACTAGAAGCCACACTCCTGCAATGTGCTTTTTATTTTTAACCCATTTTCTATCCAGGTTCTTGCACGTTGCTAGTCGTAGTTTTCCAATACCTTAGCGTTATTATGTTTGACTCAACTTCTTGCTATAGTGTCATTTTTGACTTTGACATATTTTGACTTTCCCATGCGTTCTGGGCTTTGAATTTTTGGAACGGGGAATGTTACTTTATTGCCCCTTATCTCGGCGGGTTGAGCATGAACCGACAAGATATTGCGTACATTCCATATAACCGGGTGATGAATGAGCTTGAGTTGTTCGGATCGA